AATGCTCAGGAAGGCAGACGAACAATCATTAGGTCTTACCATGGTCGCATCTAAGGAAGTTCAAAGGACATACAGGCCAGAGATCATGCTAAGCCTCACGGCTGCCCTAAGGAGCTCACGGTCATAGATGGGAGGAGGGAGGGAAAGTAGGAAGAGGCAGCCCTAAGACAGATACGATGAAACTTAGCGTAGTGCGAAGAAAGATGTGCACCAGTGTAGAGAGCACGGACCGGGTACAGAGACGAACTGCGCAGTCTGGAAGTGCTACCAGGAGGAGACCAGCTCTGAGGTGAATAGATATTCTGAATGCACTGAAGAAAGTGGGAAGGGAATTCGAGGCACAGGGCGTGAGCAAAGGCACTGAGACAGAGCAGCGTGACTTGCGCAGGAAGCCGGAGCTCAGAGGTGAAGATCGGCAGGCAGGAAGGGCTGAGGAACAGGCAGAAGCCATGTAACGGAAGAGCCTGATCTTGTGTGTTAAGCGTGGCTCTGCCCTGCAGGAGACTAGGAGCGACCACAGGCACTGGGGAGGTATCCTGCAGTTAGCACTGTGTGTTCCAGACTGAGCCTTCTAGTGGGAAATTAAAGACAGATTCTGAGAGGGTACGAATGGAGAAGAGAGGCCAGCCATGGCCTGGTTGTTAAGGCAGCTGAATCACACATAGCTAACTATAAAGTCCTGGACACAGCGGCCTGATACACACGCTGGGTCCACATGCATGTGTGCTCAAAATCCCAAAAAGAGGGAGAGATGGAGAAGAAAGTGTGGCACAGCCATTTCACATGGGGGATGCTTTCTCCTCTGTACGCTGCATGTGTGTTTGTGCATGCTGAATGTGCTCTCTGTCACGTGCATGCATGCCCTGGCAAAAGAAAAAAAGAATGTAGAATAGGAGGAGTTTGGAGGAAAGATCCCGGAGATTCAAAGTACAGCAGGGGCTAAGAGGTGGGTGGTGGTTAAAGTGGCTGGATCCCTGGGGGGTGGCAGGTGGCGTGGTGGTTAAGAGCACTGGACTGTGGTTCGAGGCCTGGACCTGGTGGCTTTCCCTCTCTTTGTCTTTCTCTCTCTGGTCAAATTAAAATAAATAAATAAAGTTAAATAGAATAATTCTTGGAAAAATAAAACTTAAAAAAAAAGTAGCTGGATCCCACATGGTCGGCTATACAGTTTGAGTCAGACTCGATGGCTTGAAAAACATACTGGGTGCATGTGTGTGTGTACCTAAAATCCTGAGGGGAGAATGGAGGAAAATGGATTGTGGCCCGGCCATCCTCCCCAGTGGGGAGCGTTCTCTGTGTTTTCTGCAGCAAGCACATACACCGAATAACAACAATAACAAGAAAACTGCAGCAGTGGTGGGGAGGATACAGATGAGTAGATAAGTATGAGAAACGTTAGAGAGATTTAACTACCTATACCTCATGCTGGATACACAGTGAGAGGGAAGAATGTATGTAACCCCCAGGTTTCTGGAAATAGGTCTAAAGGGGAGGGTAAGGGCATTTCATATATTAAAAACCCAGCTTAATTATATAGAACGTCTTCCATTTTCTTTTATTTGGAACTTTTTTTTTTTTTTTTAGGCTTTCGCCATAGGGCATGATGTGTACACTTGCCAGAGAGAAACAGAGAGGGGAAAAGTGAGAAATCATCCTCCAGGAGGAATGGCCCCGCCACAATCCTTTATCCTCCATTCTCCTCTTGTGATTTTGGGCATGCATACATACACACACAGCATGATTTTAAAGCTACCGGGTCCAGGACTTGAACCATGGTCCAGTACTTTAGCCATCACACCACCTGGCTCTTGGAACTTACTTTTAATAGAAAAGTCCTCTCCTCACCTACATAACCTTCCTTGGTGCCTGACAAAAATCCCTATCCCACAGGATGACAGGTCTCACTATTTCCTAAACATATGTTAAGACATCTAAGACCTGGTAGCAAATAGCTTCGTCCAGAGATTTTAAATTCTACTCATGCTACCAAGTTCTGTTTATTTAAAAATGAACTCATAACAGTTTTGACAAAGACTCTATTACCTAATCACCTAATTCAAGTAAGTATCATGTTTGGGTTTATTATATGCTTCAATGCAATTACCATTTATCTTATTTTTTTAAATATTTATTTATTTATTTATTCATTCATTCATTCATTCATTCATTTTAATTTGACCAGAGAGAGAAACACAGAGAAAGAGAAAGAGAGAGAAAAGTGAGAAAGCAAGCAACCAGGTCCAGGACTTGAACCGTGGTCGGCCATGTGGGAGTATCCAGCACTTTAACCACCACGCAACCTGCTGGGCCCGTCCATTTATCTTACTTTAAATAAATGTTAAATACTTTTTTTTTTTTTTTTGTAAGAGGACATGTGTGCTTGACAGAGAGAGGGAAAGAAAGAAAGAAAGAGAGAGAGAAAGAAAGAAAGAGAGACAGAAAGAACGAACGAACCCCTAACCTTTTCCTTCATTTCTCCAACCTGTCAGGATTTGCGGCATGCACACACACCCCTGGAGTGTTTTCCAAGCAGCTGGGACTACGGTCAGCCCAACACACAGCTCTTAACTGCTGCATTATGGAGCTGTAGGAGTCACAATAGTTAAGGAGCTAGACTCTCACTTGGTCAAGGTTCGAGGCCCAGACCTCGCAGTTTGAAAGTCACACCAGCCCGTGAATGTGCCTATCCAAAATTCCGGAAGGAGAGTGGAGGAGAAGGGATTGCAACATGGCCATTCCCCCTGGGGCTGACTTCTCACTTTCCATCTCACTGCCTCTCTTCAATGAGTGTACATGCCCTATAACAAAAACCTTAAAAAAAAAGCACCATAGTTAACTGCTGTTTAGTTCTTAATTGTATCAGAAATGCCATTAAAATTTTATCACGAAATGTTAAACTGGTTATTTTGATTTATCATGCTTAGAAAGTACTTATCTATTTCAACTTTATTTAATATCCATTTCTTTTAAAAGCTCCTTTGTGGGGCCGGCAGGTGGTGTGGTGGTTAGGGCACTGGACTCCCACATGACCAACCACAGTTTAAGTCCCAGACTTGGCAGTTTGGAAATAATGTTGGGCATGTGAGTGTATCCGAAGTCCCAGGAGGAGAAAGGAGGATTATGGTGTGGCTATCTCACTTGGAGGGTGATTTCTCATCTTCCCTCTCACCGACTGTCTCTCTGCAGAGAGCACACAAACCCTGCGGCAAACACAACAAAAACCAAAAAACCTCATTTGTGGGAGCTGAGGTCTGTGCACAAGTTGGGGCAGCCTGTGAGCTCTCAGGGCCTGTCACTCAGTGTCAGGTGGTGAAGGGTGATACTGGCTTAGGCACTCATCTCAGGAGGGTGCAACAGGGCCGTGGAGGAGCGTCTGCGTGCAGCCTTCCAGAAGTACACAGAATGGGAGCCTGGCGCGTGGCGAGGTAACGGGAGTGTTTTTCAAGCAGGTGGGACTACGGTCAGTCCAACACACAGCTCTTAACTGCTGCATTATGGACCTGTAGGAGTCACAATAGACAAAGAGCTGGAACCTATGGTACTCAAGGATTGGGGCTGAGTACAGGGGCACAGAGGGCATGAGGTGGGCTGGGGCTTGAGGACTTTGCACCTGGCCCCATGGGCCTTGAGGCACAGACCTTAGAGCATAAATGGCCCAGGGTAAGTGTATCTCCATCCCTAAGAGACGCATCCTGGAAACCCTGAGTTCTCCTTCCCCCCTCTGCCTTGTGGCTTTTTAAAGAGTCGCATCTCAGTGACCGGCCTACAGGCCTACCTTTTCTCCTCTGCAGAATGAGGGGGTCTGTTTGACCCACATTCAAAATAAAAATCATAGAAATCGCATTAGTTGCCAACATTTCAGAATCTAGGAATGTCACACTACAAGTCCAGACTTCCTGTGTTCTCCTGATAAATCAAGATGACTTGGCCACCCTGGACCTCCACTCTGCCCAGCAGAGAGGCCCTGATTTGCACCTCTGCTGTCACCTCCTGGCCAGCTTCACTCCTTGCCTCCTGTGGGTGTCTGATTTGGATCAATGGAGAGCAGCACACTCCCAACACACACACACACACACACACACACACACACACACACGCACAAGTACTATAGGACCTGTTACCCAAGGGAGTGCTGTACTTGTGAAAGACACTTGTGGATGCAGAACACGGGGTGGGACTGCTGGTCCCTACAGTCTGCAACCTTCCTTCCACCTGGGTTCCAAAGCAACGCAAAAGTCCCCCAGACAGACCGTGTCCCTGGAGTCAGGTGAGGGCTCTGAGAGAAAGTGACTGTCCTCCGAAGCACGACTTGCTTTCAGGAGTGGGACAGGGTTACCGAGACACTACCTCCTGTAAAAATGTGGCCTCACTTGCTAAGTCAGCACAACACAAAACATCACTAGACACTAATTTAAAATGACACTGCTTTGAGTGTTTTTTTTTTTTTGTATTTTAACAATCCTAAATTGATAATCATATGAATTTTTTTTGTATTTTAACAATCCTATATTGAGAAACATATGGATTAAGTAAACATTTAAAGTAGTTTTAATAGTTGTGAAGATACATTTTCTTTAAAAATAAGGAAATAAAATATATACAGAAAGAGAAATGAGAATCAAAATAATACACTAGAAAAATTAAAAATAAATTAAAAGTTCATATATAAATAAGCATTTAAAAATTACAACACAAAAGTTAGGTCCTTTAGGTAACCAGATTTAAAAAAATACATCTTTTATCCCCAAAGACTTTAAAATATATTCTATTTATTTATGTTATATAAAGTTAGAAAATATGAAGTTTTTATAAACTCTTTCAAAGAATATTAGTAAACAAACCATAACAAATAAATGGTCTCTGTTACCACTGTTGTAAGGTTATACTAGCGATAGCCGGTATATTTTGAGCATTTTCAAATTGAAATCTGAAATGGTCAGCATTAAACACATTTTAAAATAAGGATTAGAAGTCACCCGCTAAGAAAGCAACAGTCTTACCTGTAACGAACATGAAAAGAATGTTCTTCCCTCATGCTTATCAAATTTTCCTCCATCGAGACATATTATAAGCTGAGTAAAATACGAGATTATTTTATTTTGTACCAATCCAGTTCTTTACAATGTAGAATCGTTCGCAGAACACTGTCCGGTTAGTGTATTAATGAGTTGGTGTTAATACATCCTAAGCTCAAGCTTCTTCTTTATTAATAATGAAAGGAGGTCACTGTCAGATGCTTAAAGGTTCAAAATGTGTCCCAAATCCTTGCATCTCTGGCCCTTTCAGGAGCACTTCAGCAACATTTCTGTAAAAGGAATATAAAATGCTCTGCTTGAAGTCCTATTTTCAAAAATAACCTAAAGTAACCCTGAGCTGTCCATAATCACACCACTAACTGCGGACTGCTGTCCGGTCCGTCACCGCAGAAGACAGCCAAGGACTGAGCCGTCGCCATGGAGCTACTGAAGGGCGTGAACACAAACGTGACGTGAGAGCTGCACTCCAGCTTCAGCTCAACTTTTAAAATTGGTTTCAAATATATAGTTTTATGTGCTTATCTTTTATTATAAATGATCATACAAAATGTTATATTTCGTATTTGTATGTAAAAGCAGTCACGACACTTCATTCAAACTTTTGAAACTGTGATTAAAAAAAAAACACAAAAGTTTAAGTGAACAAGTAATGCCAAGTCTTGTAAATTTACCTCTTCAAAGATAATACACTGATAATTAGGCTATACCGGTAATCATTTGCTTCCAAATGATTCTATTTAAACTCTTTAAGCTCTTTTCAAAGATTTTATTTAAACTTTCTAAGGTCTTTTCAATGTTTTTCTTACTATTAAGTACTACAAACAAAATTTAGGAAGCATGTGTACGACCAAAAAACGATGCTCTAACATTGATGTATCACCGTCCAGTTTACGAGAAAGATTATCACCACTGTCTTTTAAGCCTCCTGTGTGCCCCAACCTAACCCAGCACCCTCCTTTCCCCTCCAAGGTGAGCTCTCGATTGCATTTTACACTATTCTCCTTCTCTTTACAACCTCACCATCAAAGCCTGCAATCTTAAACATCACTGAGCTTGTACGGTTTTTGCGCAACATGGTTTCTGTGGTTCATCTCGATTATTGCTGCACACAGCTCCAACTGGCACGATGTACTGCTGCATCAGAGTCCACTGTATACCAAACGTATTTTTCATTCTGCAATTGATGGGCACTTGGGTTATGTTCTTCTTTTAATTTATATTTTTCTGGCTATTGTTAAGAGTGCTGCTAGAAACACTGAGATATTAATAACTTAATACACTAGTTAAGCAGCAGAGCATATTAACTGCTTAATTAAGTAAGTACAGCTAGGGACAGATTAGCTGGGAACAGAACAGTAAGGTAAGAGACAGGAAGGTGGAGAGAATCAGTTTGGGGAATACTGATAAAGCTTCTTGGAGGAAATGAAGTTTTCATATTAATAACCAGTTTGGTGAGTAATAAGTACAAAATACAATTCCTTTTATTCCTGCCTTTAGTCAACAAAGGAAGTAGTATCTAAAGAAAGGATGAAAAGGTAGGTAGTGGTTATTAATATAACAAATCTTCTCTTCATTTTGTTCAGAATTCCCCCGTGCTTTTTTCCTTAATAAAAAAATCATTCAAGGGGAACTGGTATAGATATGCATAGCAACAGCTCCAAAGTCCATCCGTAACCGATAACACGACGGCTTAAACTGGCAACCAAACTGCTTTCCATCATCCACTGAGATGCAGAAGGAGAAGTATTAGAATTATCATTGCTATTATTACCTTTTTTAACAAGAGAGAGAATATTACAGGAAGGGGGAAGGGGGGAGGAGGGGGGTAGGGAGAGAGAGAGAGAGAGAGATGGGGCATTATTGACACCATCTCAGCACACCCCAGTCCTTCCTGCCCAGCCTCCCAGTGACCACCTGTTTAGGCCAGGAAACGAACCGGGGCCTCCCATGACACAGTGCAGCCGCCATGTGGGAATCCAGCACCTTAACCACCTGCTGGCTCCACTAAGGACAATTTATAGTATAATCTTACTGTTCTGAAGAATTTCCTAAAAAGGTCACTTTTGGGGCCAGTAGGTAACATAGTGGTAAAGGTGCTGGACTTCCACATGGCCAACCACAGTTCGAGTCCTGGACCCGGCAGCTTGCTTCTCACTTCCTCTCTCTCTCTTTGGTGAATGCATTATTGTTAAATAATAATAATAATAAATTAAATAAATAATTCTTTTTTAAAAAGTCACTTTACATTACGACATCCATAACAATTAGTAACATGTCCTACCTTACAATTATTCATCGAAGCAATTCTTGGTTCATGATTCATGATGCAAAAGCTCTCTAACCAATTTAGGAACGTCTCACTCATGCTTCACATTACATACCACACTTCATATCTATTTACCTACGAGTCTAACACCAGTAAAATGTGCAGCAAATAGTAAATTATAAATTTGTTGGGACAAGAAAATTTAATGGCATGGCTGGGAACTGGAATTAAAATAAGATGTTTGAAAGAATTCAGCAAGTTCAACCTCCAGTCTTCATTAAGACATACAACTAATGCTTTGCAAGAAACACACACATGCCTTAATAGTCTCTCCAAAACAATGCTCCTAAATGGTCACTACTAACAACTTTTCGGCTTGTCAGCTCACTGGATCTTGTAGTCTGACTATAAAGAAAGAGAAGGGCTGAACAGAGGTATAGCAGTAAAAGAGACACCGTGATAGTGACCCCCATGGAGAGGTTTCAGGTTCGCATCTCAGAGCGTGCCGGACATGGTGTGCCCATGAGCCAAGGCTGGCTGAAGCTGAGGAGTGGATGGAGGCATCAAAATCTAATTGGGGGACCAGCAGTTAGTGTAATGGCTATGTCGCTGGACTCCCATGTAGTTGACCGCAGTTTGCGTCCCGGACCCGGTGGCTTAAAACTCATGCCAGGCGTGTGTGCGTGCATGCCCCAGATCCCGAGAGGAGAATGGAGGAGAAGGGATTGCGGTGTGGCCATTCCCCCGGGGGGTGATTTCTCGCTTTCTGTCTCTCTGTCTCTCTCTGTCTGTCTGGCGAGCACACGCGCCCTATAGCAAAAACCTCTCCAAAAAAAAAAAAAATTTTTTTGGGAAAGTTGTCTCTCTGTCTCTCTTGCTCAAGGAAGAAATGAAGTAACTAGAAAAAAAAAAAAAAAAAACAGGCATTTTTTCTATATCCAAGCAGGTGACAGAAGCATACAGAATGATCCACTAGAACATAATTCTTACTGCCTCGTATTTAATTATCTGATTAGAAAGTCAAATTAGGTGGGACCAGCAGGTGGCATAATGCTTAAGGTGCTGGACTCACACATGGTCAACTGCAGTTCAAGTCCTGGACCCAGTGGCTTGAAACACTTTGGGCACATGTGCATGCATGCCCCAAATCCTGAAAGTAGACAAGGAGAAGGGATTGCAGTGTGGCCATCCTCCCTGGGGGTGGGGTGGGGGTGGGGATGGGGGGAGGTGATTTCTCGCTTTCTGTCTCTCTATCTCTTTGAGTCTCTCTGGCCCTATAGCCAAAAAAAAAAAAAAAAACTCTCAAAAAAAAAGCAGTCAGAATGGGCAAACACCATCTATGCAGCCCGCTGGACCTGGAGGTACTCTCCGAGGTATGCAGTCAGCGTAGACAAGAAAGGCAGGCTCCTGCTCTAAGACATGCTCGCCCTGCTTTACTCTGTGGGCAGTAAAAAGTTCGCAAACTAGGTGATGGGGAAATTCGGTGGACAGACAGTTTGTTTGTTTTTTTTTCCCTCTAGGGCGCGTGCGCTCGCTCACCAGACAGAGTGAGACAGAGAGACAGAAAGCGAGAAATCACCCCCCAGGGAGGATGGCCAGGCCGCAATCCCTTCTCCAATTCTCCTCTAAGGATCTTCGGCACGCACGCCCGGCGTGAGTTTTAAGCCACCGGATCCGGGACGCAAACTGTGGTCGACTACATGGGAGTCCAGCGACATAGCCATTACACTAACTGCTGGTCCCTCTCCATTCTACTCTTGAGATTTTGTGCACACACACGCGCCCGGTGTGAGTTTTAAGTTGCCAGGTTCAGGACTTGAACAGCAATCAACTATGTGGGAGTCTAGCAAAGTAACTATTATGCCATCTGCTGGTCCCAAACTTTTCCTATCTTAATTGCATCCTTTAAGATATAATACTCAATTTTTTCAATGTCTATTTTATAAAAAACATTTATTTTATTTTATTTATTATTTTATTTCCTGTAGGGCACATGCATTCACCAGAGAGAGAAGAGAAAAAGAGAGCCGGAAAGTGAAAAAGCAAGCTGCCAGGTCTGCGAGTCCTCCATGCGGCGGTCCAGTGTCTCAACCACCACGCCACCTGCTGGCCCTCCAAATATCTTTCAGTTGTAAGGTTTTAAGTCAGATACAGTGGCTCTTTATTGACGTGAGCAGAGATGAACGCTGAGGAAAATCAGGAACATATTTAAAATGAAGTTCTGTTAAGGTAGGGCACAGGTAATAGTAACAAATACACATTATAGTAATTATGAGGATAATAAAATAGGATACCAAAATATTCACTTCTGGAGTAAATTCAAATAACTACGCTAAGTCAACTGGTAATTTTCTGTCAAATTATGTATCTATAAATTGGACTAAGGGTGGATTCTCAATCCAAATTTCTATTTCAAACTATGTTTTATCTGAAACATAAAATGCAAATACAGGGAACAGTCCATGCAAAATTAAGGTAGGATGGTAAGAGCAGGAAGTTATTACTGATGATATAAGAATATGAGGAAAGGCAAAATGTGAAGAGAACAAAGATGAAGAGAGTTCAGAGCTTAATTTTACTGCAGCAGGTGTGAAGAGGCCAATTAAAGGCAAGAGAGATGATGCCATCAGAAGAGAATCCTGATGTGAGAAATCAGTGCCTAAAGCACAGACGGTCAGGCCCCAGAACTGCTGAGCACGTGGTTAAGTAATATGGCTAGGAAAAAAGAAGAGGGCCCACTGACTGGATGCGAGAGGCAACGGTCAGTACTAACAGTTCACAAGATTTCCAGTCGTGCAGGGGGGTGACACAGTAGCAATGCCCACAGTAATGGACAAATTAGGTCACAAGAGTGATGCTGTGAAGGAGAAAATGGAACACTTACATCAAACTTGTACCTGCTAAAGTGCTATATTCACAATAACAGATGAAAGAAGAATAAAGCTTGAGATAATATGAAGTCAGGTTAAAATTGGAGACAAGGTGAAAGGTCC